TTAACCCTTAAGAGCCCAGACCTATTTCTACTTTCATGAAAATTACGGGGGTCTTATATCAAATGAATCATATATAACCAAGTCTCTAAGTGTAAAGGGGCAGTGACACCAGTGTCACTGTGGGTCCTTAAGGGTTAAGACTGTATCTAGTAAAAACTAGTTGTAACATGAATTGATTGCATGATTATTATTATACAATGGAAGTTAATATATCTTTTTACAGCACAGTCATTACGCCCATAAATTAGAGGCATGTTTTCACTTCTTGATTTTAATAATATCACAGTATTCTACCTATTTTTTTAACATATTCTTTTAAAAAGCAAACAAAGAAAAATTACCTCAGTGAATAAGACGTGTGACTGCTGGGGCTGCTGGATGTGATACACAATGTAGTCTCCCAGCGAACTGTGCCTTGCCTCTTTAACGTATTCTTGCATTAAATGCTCTCGTTCTGCAGTAGGCAGTTTGGATTTGTCCAAACGAACAACTGAGTCCGGAGTGGCACAGTTGAGCAGAATGTCTTTGGCTTTGTTCAGAGTGACCTGAGCATCAGTCTCAGTACTCTCACGCTCTGTTACTTGCATGACCACAGAGGAACAAGTGTCTGAGTGATAGCCGATGAACACATCACTTGGATCATACTCCTTTTCTGAGGAGTAACTATTTAAGGAGACAAAATCCTTAACCCATTCCTCCAGTTGTCTAGCAATAACCTTCTGTTCCTCTGTGAGGACAGTGTTGATGTCAAGGTAGTGTTTCTCCAATCTGTTAATGAGTGGTATTGGAAACTGCTCATAAACCACTTCCCTTTCTTCAATGACTATGAGCCTGAAGTTTTGGTGAACTCTGCATTTCACACGATGTGTTCCTAAACCAAGATCAACATAATTTTGACCTCCGAGGGTCACATAGTACTGATTTAGAGCATCATACAGACTTTCATAAAGATTTTGAAGGTTGAGAAGCACAACTGTCTGTCCTGTCTCCATGCACACTTTGACACGATTTATGTTCCTGCAAATCTGTGTGTACTCCTGATCTTTCGGGAAACTTGACCCAAAGATTATCTCTGGGCAGATTTGATGAGAGCAGAATATCTGTTGAAGAATCTGAAGAGCTGCATAGTTTTTTGTGAGTAGCAAAAGATACCGGCTTTCCTCCATTTGGGAAGCTGGACAAATGCTTTGCTTAACCAAATCAATAGTTGGGATTCTGACATTGGCAAAGTCATCTCTGAGTTCATTGCGGAATGTGTCAATTACATCATCATCATTTTTTCCGCTGAAGTTTTGCAGGACTGCTCTGGTGATTTGATCTGCTTTAGGAGGTTCATTAGATGTTTTGGTAATTGAAAATAACATTTTTATCAGACTGTAGAAATCCCGCAGACCAAAAAATCCGTTGCTTTCATCGCATACTGTCATATATGCTGTTGCTAAAGGTTGGAACAAGTGACTGATATTTCTAAGAACATGTTGGTCAGAGGAACAGATTCCTCTGGCACTTTTGATGAGCTCTTGCTCATTTAAATCTCCACGGGACACAAAAATTCCACGATTCATCTTGGCAGGATCCAGTGCCCAGTTGGAAATTCCAATGAACCCAACCCTTTTATGAGGTTTTGGCTCATCATCAACACAACCCTCTTCCAGTAATGGGTGCAGTGCTTTCAGTGGCATTTTCGGGGAATCCTCAGCCAATCCAATCTCATCAAGAACAACTACTGAAATATATTCGTCCAGGTTTTTGCTTTCTTGAAAGCGGGCACATTGCTTAAATGTGTTAATGATTCCTTCAGGAGTTGAATGAGGGCTACACTGGAAAGACACCAGATGTATTTGCTTCAGCTTCTTGTAAAGGTCAGAATGTGATGTGGGACCTTGCATTGCATTTGCAACTAGAGTTTTAGACAGTGATTTGGAGCTTCCTGGTTTCCCAACAATAAACAGGGGAATTCTCAGTTCAATACAGACCACCATCATGAAAAAGTTCTCTTTCAAAGCCTCATTTCTGGCAATCGTCTCACCCATGGGTACACGATTGAGTAGGAGATCCTGCATGAGTTCCATTTCCTGCAGTACTCGTTGTGGTGTATACTCATCGGGAAAAATTTGGCTGATAGTTTTCTGATACTGATCTTTGTTTTCTAAACAGGACTGATAGCACATTCCAGTAGCCATCAAGAGTGACCAGAGTATTCTGTCACTGGCAGGTGAAAATGGTGGGTTGTTTTTTTGTTGCTGCTGTAAAAAGGCTTTTAGAGCTTCAGCAAACATTGGGTGATTGTTGTAAAACCACAGAAATCCTTGCATGCAACGTTCAACATCTCTCAAACTGACAAAGCTACATTCATCTTTCCTCTCTCTCATGAACTTTTGTGATGATGATAAAACTTCAATTATTGTTGGAATACAGTCCTTTTCAGTGAAACTGGCCTTCGCCTGTCTTTGGACTATTTGTTCAATGTAGATTTGCTCTGTTGAGTCATTGAGTTGTCCAAAATCCCAAACAAGAGGTATCATGCTCGGTGGTAACACATGAACACGATACACAAGCTGGCGGAGAGGGATGGAGCCAAGTCTGTCTTCAGTCTCCTCAGCCCGAACCCGGTAGCCCAGTCCTGATGCTTCCAGCCGCTTGATCATCTGGTCTGTATGTTTTCTGTAAGGGTTGCATGCTGCAATAATATATAGCCCTGTATTAGAGCCAAGTTCTTCTCCCTGCACTGAGTTGTCACAGAGGATCTCCTTGATGCTATTAACGGCTTCTGTGGTGTTTGCCTCATCAAAGAAAAGTACTGAGTCAAGATCATGATTTTCTTTATTGGTCCTTGCAAGAGTTTCAGCTTCCTTCACTTTCTCATAAATTATTTCTGATGTAGTTCCTCCATGAATTTTGACCAGTTTCATGTTTTCTGCTGGTGCTCCACATCTTCTTAGTTCACACATAAATTTTATGAGCCTTGTTTTACCGCATCCTGTCTCCCCCATTATGATGACAGGAATGCCACACCTGAATCTCATATGAATTGCCATCATTTTGAGGATATTGTCAGTGGTCAGTTCATATGTTTCATCAGGATCTGTTGGCCACTTGACGCCAAGCACACTGCACAGATGCTCAATCTTGTCAGCTCTAGGAAACTGATCAAAGTCTGTATTAAAAGGAACTCTCTGAAGTTTTAAGCCATTGTACAGCTGTCGAGTCATGATGTTTTTCTTAATCACTTCTTTTGTCAAAGGATTTACCGCATCAAACCCTTTCTGGTTATTGGGCTTAAGGTGAAATCCAATGAATGTCATGGACATGTGGTCGTCATTAAAAAAGATGTATGGATGTGGCTCTGATTCCCACCTTTTTCTAATGAGGAATGGGGCTAAATCTTTTTCTTTTAGTCCACTGATGTCAACTTGTTGCTTCCCTGGGCTCTGGTCAGTGATGCATAGTGATGGTGTTGCAAAGTCTTTGGACATCAAGATCATGAACTCAACCACAAAGTTTTTGAACCCACAAAGAGTGTCTCCAACCAACTCAAATTTGCAGAAATCTGAATTCTCACAGTCTTTCAACTGAAGATTAAGGAACCAAACAAAGTTACGTAGCTCTGCCCATGATGGATCTATTATACCACAATAGATTAAGAGTATCTGAAGACACTTTGCATGAGTCCCTTCAGTACCCTGGAACGTGAAGTTGTCAAGATTGTCCTTATTGTGAAAACGTGTGAGGTACTGGTATGGCCTTTGATAAGCTTCACTTCTGAAACATTCATCATCCATCAGGGGGCCACTACAGTCCATGTCTGGATTTTCTTCTTTTTGCATTTCCAAAGCCATAACCTTTTTTGGTGGGTGGCAAAACAGCTTTGGGAAAACATCTGAGAATGTAAAATGTTCGTTTCGACCCTAAAAGTATACAAAATAAAAAATGTTTAAAACAATCAAATCTATCCTCATTAAAAATAAATAAAAAGAACTGAATAAAGAGGTCAGTATCCCAGGTCAGTACAAATGGCGCCCCATAGTATCCATGGATCATAGAAATATGAAATATAGACAATTGCTGCATGTATAAAAGGCTCAGTCATTTTCCGTTTTCCTGCAATATGGTTTCAAATGAGGTTATGGGAAATGACGCTGGCATAAGTTTGATATGCTACACTGGGAGAGATAGTACTTCTGGGTCAGCTTGTTATCACCTCATCCTGTAAACTACACTCCTGTTTGCAATCCTTAACAGTGATGCTCTGAGTGTTTTAGTTAATGAAGGTCAATTACATTAAATCATTTTATTTCCAACCTGGATTTGCTGAGTCTTGAATTTTTTTGCATTTGGTTGTAGCGGCACATTTTCACATTGTGAGTGAAGACATGTGCCGCCAGCTGCTGCCGTACGGTGGCAGTTTTATTTGGCCACACAATTGCACCAAAGTACGTTTTGTGATAGTTTGAGCCAGGAAATGTCTGTACTTATAGTATGGCACCACGATTGTGTTGAAGTTGAGTTGTGTGTTTGAACCTAGTGATGTAATATTTACATAACTTGAGTTATTACATTGTAACGGACCAGTTTACAAGTTAGTTTGATTGTTGTGTTATCAGTGTTATTGTGTTCAGAATTGCCACTCACTTATGGCATAGTTGCTCCAGACTGGCAGCAACGTGATTCACTGAGTGTCCTTGAATGTATAATAGTATAGAGCCGTTAAGCCTGTCAATCATATCAGCTACGTATGACAGAGAGTCTGTAAGAGCATGCTTGTGGTTGGCTGAGAGTTTTTGGGGGGTGGGTGTTAGAGAGTGCGTTGTTGTTGGTGTGTGTGCGGGAAAAAGAAGGATGTTTTTTCTTTTTTTTCAATTCTTGAGAGAGCGTTTTTCCTGTTGTAGTTGGCGTTCGCTACGGTCCACAGTAGCCTCTGTTACTATTCCTAATAAACAGTGGGTAAACAGAATACCGATCGTCTTTGTCTTCTGTTGGACAGACACTACAATATATTATGTTGTGGTCGTGTGTGTACAGATGGATGTTTAGGTTTATATGATTAGATATCTTTAAGTTTATATTAGCTGAACCACTGTTGCTGTAATATACTTGGCCTAATGGTAACTTATTTACAGGTTACAATAAGCCAGCTGACTTCAACAGTTAAGCAAAGTCTTCCTGTCCTTCCTGTATTCTGACCGATACGCCATCTTGTTGGCTGCTAAACCTAAAAGAACTAGTCCTAACCTACTACTCCTGCACTTAAGACAAGATATAGGTATAACTGTTCCTTCAAAAGAAAAAACGTAAATGCTAAGACTATGGCATAATTTTTTTCTACCTATTTACCTATCTATTTATTTCTATCTATTAAGAATCTTATTTCATTGAACAAGGAAGGATTTTGATGAAATATCAAAAAACCAAATAAATTATAACTGTAACATAACTATAATATAGCATTGAATGATTTCATAAGAAGAATACTTTACTAAAAGTAATAACTCCACTTACCAATCTGGTATCACATCTGTTCTGATCATTTGTGGACTCCAGTAACTCAATAACATATAAGTGGTTCTGGCTGCATTGCCACATCTGTCCATTTGAATCCATCAGGTACCGCAAAAAGAAAAGCTTGAATATGAATTCATTCAGGCCCTTTTGCACCTGGAAATGGGGTGTTAGAAAATAAGTCTGTGTTACTAAATAAAGCAAATTATGACCAGCTAAGGGATTTGATCAGAACCACAATATACATTTAAATAAATAAACTTATAAATAAAGTAGGTTTCACTACAGTTACATTAAATTGCTTACCGAGGACGTGACATCAAAGTGAAACACCTTAATATCTTTTTGTTTTGGTGTGTCATATAAAAACTGGAGAATCTTGTGGTCGTCAACTTCATGTTCAGTTAGCCTGATGCACTTCTTAAAGGCTTTTCCTTCGTCAACACTTCTCTCAAGTTTTTCGTACAACCTTTGGACATACAGCGACTTGCCTAAAATAGAAGAAAAACAATAACTGGTTGACAGAAGTCACAGCATTAATAATAACTGAATATGAATGACAAATTATTTTATTTCTAGGAAGCAATAACTGTGTTATTACAAGACACAAAACCAGATCTAATTCTGCATCCTGTTTTCTATATAGACACTGTAATGTAAAACTTATTTTATTTCCCAAAGTGGACAATTGGTGCTTTTGCTATATTGTTCAACTTGATTGTCATAGTTTATTCTATCTTTATTATTTATTTATTGTACTTTTAAGCTGTTACTATCAAAATGGACAGGACTGGGGGATGGGAAAGAGAGAGAGGAAAATGGGGAGAGAGTTAACAGAAGGAGAGTGAAAGAAACATAGAGGAGAAGGGAGTGAAAAAAGACACTGAAAATCTGTTTGATTACCTGCTGAAACAAAAAAACAAGCAAAAAGAAAACAACATAGTAGGCAAACCTTAGCAACAACCAACATACAGTAAATAATAAATATTGAATGTTACTGAGCAGCATACCTGTTTGCAGTGTTGAGAAGATTACTTTTAAAATGTATTCCACTACAGATTACAGAATACATTGTAGGATTGAACAAGTTATTTTACTGCTATTTTATTATCAGTATTATTATTGCATTAGAACCACGTAACAAGCATTGCATTAAAGCATTTATTGAAGCTGTTAACATTACATTAAAGTCTGTATTACAGGTGGTATCATAATCATATAATAATCTTTCATTGCAGGAGCAACTGTAATCATTTTATACACATTGCATTTTGGTGCTTATTAAAGAGTTGAAGCTCGGTCAGTTAATTGATGGTCAGAAGCTTCGTCCGGCGCGAGGTCCAGCCGGTCTATTGAGTAAAGTGTCCTAGAGCTATGGAAGAATTGCATATACGCTTACAATACATATATCACATATAATCTAGAAACAGGCCAGCATAAAGACCTGAGTATATTCAGCAACCTGCTGCGTTTGAGTTTGCTTGGTAACAGATGACTCAGAATAAGTCAGGAAGTGTACTTCTGAAATGTCTTTGTTTCCTCTGTAAAGTGTGCATTTTTTGGTGGTTATTTTGAGGAGCTGTCTGGATTAGGCTATTTGAATAACCAGGTTATTTATTGTTATCTTTTATTCTTTTATATTCTTTTATTATCCTCCTATATCCCTCCTCAATATTTGAACCCTAACATTTTGGGGCTCGTCCGGTTATTGAAGGGGGATAGTGAGTTTGGAGGTGTGGACGGAGAAATCCAGGGTCCGAGGTGGTTGAACGGGCAGGCACGAGTCAGTGGTCGAAGTGAGTGGGCATACGCCGGCGCATGTTGAATTATTTCCAAAGTGTGCCAAATTGGACATGAAAAAATTAAAGTCTACTCACCGAAATTACTGGTAAATGTCTGTTTTGATTTTGGTGAAAATCTCATGAGGTTTGAAAGTTGAAGTAATGATAATGGAAGTTTGTAAGTGACAGTACTGGGTTGGAGTCCCAAGGAAAAGGAAAACAGTAAAATTGGGTTGGAGTCCCAAGTAGGAAAGTTAGGGAATTGGTCATATTGTGGGTTGAAGTCCCCATTGGTCATCAGGTCAGACCTGTGTTGGTCATTTTGTGGTTTAAAGTCCCCATTGGTCATCAGGTTAGATTTGCGTCAGTCATACACTTGTTCTGGGGTGTTGATTGTTGTTTCCAAGTATTATAAATTTTTCAAGAATGGCAGTGCAGCTGGAAGGAAGCGCATAGCCCGGGGTTTACGCCCCCTCCTGGTCGCGGACGCGCGATCTTGACCTATCGGCGAATAGGGTTAGTTCAGTCCAGCTTAACTGTGGGGTACAGGGCATCCTGGAATAAGCTAAGAGTTTGAGTCTCTTTGTCTGCGCTTTTTTTGGGTAGCAGAGGTGCGTCCTCGGGTCTTGGAGACTTTTAAATTGATTTAGGAATGTTAGAGATTAGACCAAAAACAGTTAGAGTCTGATACTGGTGAATTGATCGCAAAAAACCTGGGGTTTATCCGCTGGGCGGTTATCGTAAATTTGTCGAAATTGTGTAGGTGTTAAAAGGTCAGGCCTGATAATGGTTGTAAATATAAGACGTCATTGTAATATAATGTAAGACATTTTATGTAGGGGAAGTCTGTGAGCTGAAAGTAAGCTGAGAGATAGCTGCAGTGCTGCGGCTATTTTTAGACGGTGTGTGCTGCGAGAATTATTAGAGGTTTGAATTGTTTTTCTTTGACTTGCTCTTTCTGATTTTGAAAAGCATGTCTGATAAAATACTCTTAGGAAAGCGTATTTTGAGTGATTTTAACTGTGTGAATGTTGTGAGTACTGGATCTGAGTGATTCTGTGCGAGTCGTACTAAATAATAAATAAGTAATAATCACACTACACGGGTTCATAGCAGAGGGTGTGAAAAGAGGAAGTTTGAGAGAAAAGGCAGTGTGTGTGAGACGATCATGAAAGTATTGCGTGAATGATGTTACAAAAACCAAAGAGCTTAGGATATTTAAAAGTGCGTGCGTGAAATAAGGGTGCATTGTTTTTAGATTAAGACTTAGCAGAACTACAGAGGATTTATAGACTATAAATACAAAGAAAAAACAAGAGTTTAATTACCCTGAAGAAATAGGAAGGAGAGAAACAGAAAAGATGGCTCTGAGTAGCTGCGTGTGTGTGTGACAGGAAATGGTGTGTGTGACAGGAACTTTACATGCCCATAAAAGGAGACTGACTGTGTCAAGTGTGGACCCAGAGAGAAAGATGAGTTAAACTCTAGGCAGATGAAGTGAATGAATGTTTTAAGAAAAATGAAAAGGATATTAATTGTATGCTTTAGTGTGTCAATACAGGTGGACTTCTCTCAACATGGAACCGTGAGTACAGCAGCAAAAGCATAGATTAACAGAATTGGGAGGAAAACAGGCCAGGTTTTGGCTGAAATTTTACAGCTTGACCTCTCACTTTGTCCCCATCCTGAGAAGAAGCTCAAAGGACAGTTAATCTCCTGATGAAGACCGACAGAACACCGTGGACTTGAAGAATTAACAGCAGGCAAAAGACAGTGCAAGTGAACTATAACACTGACGACTCCAGCAGCAGCATGAAAGAAACCACGTGATGAAAACATGCACGGTGAACTGCAGGCTGGTAAGAACGGTGTGACATGACTGTTTGAAGGCACTGAATGTGACATTTTGCCAGGCTGGGACTTAACCTAAAAGGAAAATAATGAAAAGATCAACGGAGAAGAAACAAACTGTGTTTGCTGGAGATTTCAAGACAACACGGGACACTGTGAAGAGAGGGAGGGGGACCAGTCGGAGGTCAAGCCGGACGAGTTCGACTGCAAGAGTACAGGATATAATTGGATTGAAAATGAAGGCTGAACTCATGATGGTTTAGAGATGTCCACCACGTCACAACAAACAGGTAAACAAAAAGAAGGAAAATAAAGAGAGAAAATAACTGACAATTATATTAATGAATAGAAAACACACATACACAAATTGTTACATGTGAAATTATTTTTGGAAAGAATCAGAAGTGAGATAGTTTGAATCCAGATTGTAACATATACATGCAACGAAGAAAGCAGCTTACGCTCAATTAACATGAATGCAATGAAGACACGCTTACACTTATACATATGACATAAATTTCTGACAAGAGAGAGAGAAACGAGTCGTTTAAGCACTCATGATAATAATGAAAATGTCTCAGTTTGTTATTTTCAGGGGCAAAGCAGACCTGGACCAATTTTCCACATGCAGCGGTCGGAAGAAAGCTATAGGTTAACATAACTGGAAATGTTCAGGCAAGTTTCTGGTTGAATTGTTCACAATGCCATGAACGTGACAAGCAAGCTCTGACCTATGGCTGAGGACAAGGGATGCTGTTATTTAAGGTGGGAAATCAAAAATTTGGGTTAGCAAATTTGGGAAAGAGAAAACTGACTGTTAAAGTCTGAAACATTGCAAAAAGAAACATATACAAAATCACACACACAAACAGAAAATGCATTAACCTTACAAATACAAGAGAGCTCATGAGGATTAGACAGCATGTTGAGCATGTGAGTCTGTTTATTAGTGTTAAAATAGTGTGAACACACTTGGCCAAGGTAATGCCATCCAGAGTAAGAATCTGGTTAGATACCATATTTCTAAGATTTTCAGGGCCGAGTAAAATAACCTCAGTTTTATCTTAATTTAGAAGCAGAAAGTTAGCGGCCATCCAGCCACTGATGTATAATGTAAACAGAATTGGTCCTCCTAGCACTGAACCCTGTGGAACACCATAATTGACCTTAGTGTGTGAAGAGGACTCTCCATTTACATGCACACATTGGTGTCTATTAGATAGATATGATACAAATATGATATGATTTCCAGTTCATGAGGACAGTCTTCTTGGCAATGCATAGGGCGGTGAGAACCATGTGGACTGTATTCAGTATTCATCTCTGTAGTGACATCATCTACGTTGCCCAACAAAAAACTGAAGGAAGGCTGGAATGTTTCACATTCAGTGTGGCTGTAATTGTCAGGTGCATTGTCTTGACAGTGTGAGCAGTACACAGTAGCATTTTGTATTGTATTAATTGTAGACTGGGATTTCTAATCAATTGAAAGGTTTTTAAGCAAATTTGAGACCAGAATTTGGTCTAAGCTGACTGATGGATCCACTTCCCATTTTTGCACTAGGAAGGGATTTTGACTCATCTATTTTTCAGAGTGTCTTGTACATTTTAGACAGTAATTTGGGGGTTTTGAGATTAAGGAATTGTACCACACTTAATTTGACTTGATAAGGTTTTCTTTTTTACTATAGATTTAATTTATTGGTATTCTAAAGGTCTTTTCTTCTTAATCCCATACTGTATAACCAATATGTCAAATGGAATAAATATATGTTTGAAGGAATTAAATATAAGTATGTAATTGCTTTACAACTCCACTCTAGGAAGTTATGTTAGGGTTGTTCCAAACGGGAGTACGTTTGCATGGTATTAATGAAGACTCAGTCATTTTTAGAAACTCCAATCAGAGAGGAGCTGAAGTTGACGCTTTTGACGCTTTTGACGATGTTTGTGCTAATAAATGGTAGGTCCGAATCTTGATATTATTGCATAGTGCCTGTTCTACTTCTAGCTGGGGCTCATCTAAGATGGTGTGTTTTAACCATCCTGAGATGAATTGTAGCCTGTTGGCTAGGAAGTAATGTTGAAAGGCAGATCTAGTCCTTGTTTATCCGTGGTCTTTCGTAACATTTTTAAGCTAATACACGGGGGTTAATCTTTCCAAAGGAATTTAGAAATATACAATTCCAGAGATCTAAACCAGTCTAGTGATGTTTACTCGGGATCATTGTAAATAAATAATTGATTCCTGAAAAGACAGTAGTTTTTATTGAAGCATAAACCACTTTATGTCATGGTTCCTGTGTCTCCCTGGATGGCTCGAACGGGCTACAGGTATTTGTTGTTGTTTTTCTCTTTCGCTCTCTCTCTCTCGTCTGGGCGGAGCTCACTGTGGGCTCCACTCTTGGCCAACACACCTGCAAGTGATTGCTCACCTCATTATTCCTGCCTCTCCCAGCCACCATTTAAGAGGGTGGCTCAGTGTTTCTCATAGCTGGAGCATTAAAAGACTATCGCTAGTGTTGCCCGTCTGTAAAATTGTCTCCAGTGTTTCCTTCACGGCTTTCCTAGTGTTAATTCTCTCATCTGTCTTCATACCTAGATTCCTTGGTTCTGTCCGTGTTTCCCATTCCTTGATTACCCAAGCATGAGTGTGAGTTACAAGCAGTAAAGAAGTGTGTTGTGTGGCGTGGCAGAAGAGGAGTGTGTATTACCTTTAACATTCCCTGTCTAGCACTGGACCACCCCCTTTTACCTCCCCTCATTACTTGTACATAGTCACCCAGTGTGTTGTAAATACATCCTTTGCACCTTTCTCCCTGTCTGTGCTTAAGTCTGTTCAGTCCACCGTGACACTTTATTTACAATCACTGGTACAGCTAAAAGAAGATTTGCTGAAAATTTTTATGACATTATAGACAATTACATAAACTAATCATGAAAAATTCCCAGTCTTAATACTCACCTACTCCTGCCCGACTGGAAGCAACAATACCCAAAGAATGTCCACCTTTGAACACAGCATTCTTGTAATCTGAAGTAACTGTGTAATGCCTGGACAAATACTGTTGGATCTTTTCCAGTGGCTCCTGTGGCACGAAGTCTGTTTTGTACTGACTGAATGCAGTAGGAATGTAAGTATGCTCCCTGTCAGAGCTGCAAAAGATCACTAGTCTGTAATCATTTGTAGGGGAGCACAATTTCTGAAAACATTTCTCCATTGCACAGCTAACATCATAGGAAAGTTGGTCTGCCCAGAGCATCGAGTAAATCTTTCTGCCAATGTCACCTGGTGTGAGACATCTTCTCAGAAAAAGCTCTACTTGTTCATAAGATGTTGAAGGGGAACACAAGAGCACTTCATCATAAGTTGGCAGTGACCCGTAGTAGTCGTTCATGTACAAGCAGATACTTGAAGTCAGGACCTCATCATGTGGGCAGATTATGAGATTAGGTTGTTTTGAGTTTAGGCCTTTTGGAAACTCCCTTCTGAGTGAACAGTCTCTTGTCTCTGAGAGTTCTGGTTCCGCTTCCCACTCATTGTGATTTGGATTGTCTGTCATCAATTGTAAGAGACGTCCTAAACTCCTAATGTCTAGTAGGTCATGGAAAAATATTTCCTCATTGTTCATGTAGCCATTCCACAACTCCTCCAATTCTTTCAAAACAAGAGTCTGGTCTGCCTCATCTGCTGCGTCACTTTCATGTGCAAAATCAATAACACTGTATGAAGACGAATCCCTGTGTTCATTATCCCTTTTGCGAAGTTCATATTGGTTATGTCTCCAAATACTCTGGACATCTAATGTTGTGCAGTTTGGTTTGATAAAAGAAAGCATCATCAGTGCTCTGTCTTCTATTTCTGTATTTATATTTGTTGGAGTCAAAACGCTGCACAAGTAGAATATTTGTTGTGCTGTGAAATAGTTCAAGTAGTATTGACCTGTTCTCTGTTTGTCCATGAATTCTTGCCAAGCACCAAGAAACTTTTCCATCTTCTTGGACAGAGCTACAAGCTGTTCAGCTAAACTTCCAGTTACTTTGAAGCAATACTGGGTTTTGCAAAACTTGATTTCCATAACGATACATGGGTCACTCTGAGTTTTGCAATAAATCTTAGCTTCCCAACACCTAAAAATTGGGTTCCCTGCAGTGTAAATGTCTACAAATGCTTTGGTGAATCTTTGGATGTTGTCAAACACCTGAAAATAAAAGGAAATGGGATTATATAATTATTATAATTATATAGCTATTACAGGGAGTGCAGAATTATTAGGCAAATGAGTATTTTGTCCACATCATCCTCTTCATGCATGTTGTCTTACTCCAAGCTGTATAGGCTCGAAAGCCTACTACCAATTAAGCACATTAGGTGATGTGCATCTCTGTAATGAAAAGGGGTGTGGTCTAATGACATCAACACCCTATATCAGGTGTGCATAATTATTAGGCAACTTCCTTTCCTTTGGCAAAATGGGTCAAAAGAAGGACTTGACAGGCTCAGAAAAGTCAAAAATAGGGAGATATCTTGCAGAGGGATGCAGCAGTCTCAAAATTGCAAAGCTTCTGAAGCGTGATCATCGAACAATCAAGCATTTCATTCAAAATAGTCAACAGGGTCGCAAGAAGCGTGTGGAAAAACCAAGGCGCAAAATAACTGCCCATGAACTGAGAAAAGTCAAGCGTGCAGCTGCCAAGATGCCACTT